TGTTTCCTGCGTCTGGCGAAACCATTAGTGATCTCCGCTAACATGTCTGAAATCAAGCTCATGAATCAGACGTTTTACAAGAAGATGTCTGAAAGTAGACTACTAGGGACCCCTCAGGTGATCAAATCTTGGCAAGGTAAGGCCCAGGTGTGTAGTGTAGTGTAGGTAAGGTCCAGGTGTGTAGTGTAGGTAAGGTCCAGGTGTGTAGTGTAGTGTAGGTAACGCCCAGGTGTGTAATGTAGTGTAGGTAAGGTTCAGGTGTGTAGTGTAGGTAAGGTCCAGGTGTGTAGTGTAGTGTAGGTGACGTTCCAGAACGTCTGACCAGCTCCTGTGACGTTCCAGAACGCGCCCTTATTCCCGCCACTGTTTAATGCCCAGCGCGGGTTATCAGGTTCCAGTGTGACTATTTGCCTCTCACGCCATACACTCGGCCACAGGGAAGCTTCCTGAACATAATTACCTTCTTTTGTTTGTTTCATTTTCATTGTTTGTCTATTTTAGCATGTTGTATCAAAGTAATATTGATAAAAGTTGCGTAGTTGTATTGTAGGGTAGTATTACTGTAAAACAATGTTATGATTGTGTTATAAATGTATTTATTTGTGGAATTATTATTATTTTATGCATTACTTGCCCTACCAAACACAAAGACAGCCAGACAGACTGGCGACCGACTGGTGAGTGTTGTCAAGCACTTTTTTATGAAAAATTATGCAAATAAAAGATTCTAAATGAATTATTTACAGCAAGTAAGTATTTATATCAGTAAACACATACATTATTGGCCACATGGACACAAAGGCGAGCTAAAAATAGCTGCTAAATGCCGAGGGACCACAAGCATCCCCCCCCCTCCCTCTGTGTGGTCAGGGAAGTTTCTAGAGGGTCGATATATAGTTTCCTTTCTTATTTTTTTATTGTTTTATCGTTTTAAAAGGTTAAAAAATATTTTTGAAAAATTTGATTTTTCTCGATTTAACCCCGGGTGGGGGGTAGTGGCACCAGCACCCTCACCCGGGGCTTAAGGGTCCACGTCTGAACTGATCGTTCACTCACACCAATAAATCATGATATTTCCTTTACAGGTGTCCTGCCCTTATGCACACTAATAAGTGATGCTATCTCCTCCTTTGTTAAATCTTTCCTCTAGCGGGTGGGCAAAGTGCGGCCCGCGGGCCACATTTGGCCCGCTAAATTATTTCTGTGGCCCGCCACTGCATTTGGCAATCAGAAAAAAAATTCTTATTAATTACAGAAAGGACAATTTTGGAAGTTGGGTGGACATAGCAGCAATACTGGCTCGTCGCTGTTAACCTGTGGCAGGCGAAGTGTGCCACCATTCATGAAGTGGCCCTCCATCAAAAATAATTGCCCACCCCTGCTCTAGCCCATTGTGGTAAAAAAAGCAAAGAAACAGTGGGCGATGTGGCAATAAATAGAGGCAATGTCCTGGGGCGGGGGGGCAGTAAAACTCATAAAGCTTCGTTCACAAAATGTACACGAGCAACTGGTGAACGTTTTGATGGTTGCCTTGCCTTTGAGCCTCCCTTCGTTACCAGACGTACATTGCCTGCCTCGATCCCAGCTGCGTGGCGTGGCCCTGAGGGTGTGAGACACTTACAGCACACACCGTTTACTGTCGGCCACCTCACGCATAATGCAATAGCGAGGAGTGTAGGTGTAGGTAAGATCCAGGTGTGTAGTGTAGGTGTTGTTAAGGTTCAGGTGTGTAGTGTAGGTAAGGCCCAGGTGTATTGTAGGTGGAGGTAAGGCCCAGGTGTATTGTAGGTGGAGGTAAGATCCAGGTGTATAGTGTAGGTGTAGGTAAGGTTCAGGTGTGTAGTGTAGGTAAGGCCCAGGTGTATTGTAGGTGGAGATAAGGCCCAGGTGTATTGTAGGTGGAGGTAAGGCCCAGGTGTATTGTAGGTGGAGGTAAGATCCAGGTGTATAGTGTAGGTGTAGGTAAGGTTCAGGTGTGTAGGTGTTGGGAAGATCCAGGTAACTACGTATTGGTCAAAAGTTTCAAATGGTAAAGTATTAAAATGTTTCAAGTTTCAGATCATGAGATATAAAAAAAAAAACATTGGAATTACATGTACAGTACAGTTCCCTTCACTGTTTCCATTCACATGGGTTCGTTATATAAGCATTCCACAAATCATTATCTTTGAGATATTTATTTCAATATTGTTTTAATTTCATTTCATGGTTTGTTTACTTTTGCGAGTTTCCTTCTGTCGAATATAATCAAACATAGCGACCCCCTAACAATCACCAGACGACCCCCTGACGACCCCCTAACAACCCCTGACGACCCCTAACAACCCCTGAACCCCCTGACGACGCCTGACGACCCCCTGCCCCTAACAACCCCCTGACGACCCCTAACAACCCCCTGACGGACCCCTGACCCCCTAACAACCACCAGACGACCCCCTGTAAACGCACTAATGAAGATGGCTGTACCCCCACACCTAACAATTATCACACCTGTGTTAGGATGGGATGGTGCTTCAAACATAGACGAATTATCAGCTGGGAACATCGGTGTGGTGGATTTAATGATTCCGGTTGACCTGGGACGAAAATTCGACTGGATCATGAGTTTAGAGGTGGGCGAACACATCCCCAAGGCTGGCGAAAAGAACTTTATCGACAACCTGGTGAAACATGCTTGTGTAGGTGAGTAAGGAGTTCTTATATGCCTCATCACTCATGCTTGATAGGGAGATTAGTACATGAGGATATTATTCAGTATGTTATAGTCGAGTTAGGAGGTTGGTACTGATAAACAGGCGGATACATACGACGTGGTAATCCTAAGGCCGGGTAACTGTGTGTTTGTGTGTGAGAGAGAGAGGAGTTTCCATCACTTTTCCTGGTTGAAACAGAGAGAGAGAGAGAGAGAGTGAAGCGAGTTGCCTGAGTGTGTTTTTTCCTTCTAGTGACGTGTTAACACAGTTTTCCCCTCCAGGTGTGGTGTTGTCGTGGGCGGTGCCGGGTCAGGGAGGTCACTCCCACGTCAACTGCCGCACCAACGACTACGTCAAAGACCAGATGGCCAAACGAGGTCTGGAATCGGATCAAGAGACCGAATATAAGCTCAGAGGTCCGGTAGAGTTAGATTACTTCAAAAATACTCTAATGGTGTTTAGGTTTGTGAAGAGGAAATGTTGAGGTCATCTGCCTCTTATATCCTGGAGGACGAGGTCATTGGTCTCCTTGTGTCTCCATGGCAGCTGTTGATACACTTGTTCTTAAGTGATCATTTTCAACCTATGTTATTCTGCTTTGTGATTATTGTTCTTATAAATAACCATTATGAGTTTTAAAACTATATTAGTATGTCGATTTACTTTTAGTGTGATGTAAAATTGTACCTCTAACTTACCGAAACCAGTGTGTGTGTGTGTGTTTGTGTGTTTCCTAATAAATATTGCAGTCAATCATAATGTATTTTATCTTAGTACATCTCAATAATTAAATATACTCAAGTATTACCAATAAAACCATAAATGTTTAATATACCAAATAGATAAATTTAACAAAACAGACAAGACTTCCGATAACCAATAACACCAAACAGCCCTATCAACCAGTTCCCTTGAGTATAGTGCCACGGTGCCACATGAACGACGGAGGCACTGTAGAAGGGTAACACCACACCTGGAGGAGACTGTATCATAAACTAATTATATATGTTTGAGTAATGAAGATGTTAAAAATTAATTGAAGTAAGGAATTCATTATTGACAAACTGAACACAAGATTAAAAAAATAAATAAAAATATTCCAATAAAGTGTTTCTCTGTCAGTCTGGTAAAGGTGTCAGTCAGAGTGAATAGTGGATGTACATACGTGGCATAAGGAGAATGGACACATTTTCGAGAATCAACGGAGACAACAACAAAATTAGAGTTACAAATGGAGGTTATAAGAGAAATTTGATGTTTTTTCTTATATCTGAAGATTACCAGATCTTCAACTTTTGTTTCATATATAAGTATTTTAATATTATAAGCCCCAGCAGCCTGACACACCTTTATAATCTGTAATTTAGTTAACAAGAGTGTTTACGATGATATATTGAACAGTCCCTCTAACTCCTCTCATCTCTCATCCTGGTGTGTTATTGGTCATCACAAACAAGCACAACGATCATTACCCAACCCAAGGAATTGTTTCTAAGCTCCGCCCATCCCTGACGTCATGTTCAAGGATTCACGAACCACCAAAGATTCGAATCCTCCATGAACGAAACTCTGAATCAGGAGACATAGATCTGTGAATCCAGTGTCAGAATTCTTATTTAGGTCATCCAATACGTATATATTTGTCTTGGTAAACACAACTCAGAGTGTTATTGTCTTGTTAGTGATCCACAAGTTGTGATATTTCTTCTCTGACGTAAATTATTGTCGTTTATAAATGATGTTTCAGTTGGAGATGCTTCAGTTTATTGTGAGTGAGTGAGTGAGTGAGTCGCCTCTAAGGTTCAGAATGAGAGCAGCGTAGGTGGGTATGGTGGCGCCGGCTCACTCCTATACTGACCACCTGCCGGGCTGGACCTCCTCACTGCCTGGGCCTATTGACTGTCTGTCGCAGCTAAGTACACCTGATGGTGCCTCTTGAAGTGATTGTGTGGTGCTGGAGAAGTGAATGTGGTACTGCTGGGGAAGTGATTGCGGTGGTGCTGGGGAAGTGATTGGTGGTGGTGCTGGGGAAGTGATTGCGGTGGTGCTGGGGAAGTGATTGTGGTGGTGGTGGGGAAGTGATTGTGGTGATGCTGGGGAAGTGATTTGTGGTGGTGGTGGGGAAGTGATTGTGGTGATGCTGGGGAAGTGATTTGTGGTGGTGGTGAGGAAGTGATTGTGGTGATGCTGGGGAAGTGATTTGTGGTGGTGCTGAGGAAGTGATTGTGGTGGTGCTGGGGAAGTGATTTGTGGTGGTGGTGGGGAAGTGATTGTGGTGATGCTGGGGAAGTGATTTGTGGTGAAAAATAAAAATAAACTAGCACCAATATATTTTACTTGACTATTTATTAATTTATACAGGTAACTTAGGTTTAATTTATGAATTCAACAGGTGTGCGGGCGACTGAGTAATGTGGAGTGGCAAGCTGGCGGACCTCCACGTGTCGTAATCGTGGTGAACTCTTCTGTAAAGGTTTGTGTGTACAGTATATTGGAGCTGTAGTTAATGATGTATATGAAGGAGGTAATGTGTATAGCTATAAGTAAACACGGGATTTGTATTACTAGTTTATATCAGACATTTGGTATTGTTTTGTGGGTTAATTATATTACAGCAAGTGTGTATAATTTCTGGACTAACAAGATTTATATAGTTTATAGACAGTGTGATACTAGTTAATTTATATAAGTTTATAGATGCTAGGTAATTTGTTTATCTACAGTAGACGACATAAAGCTGTAGATACATAATATAAACAGTTTATATAAGTGCTAACACTGGTTCATATTTCAGCACAGCGGTTTTGGTGGCACAGGACCCGATGTGGATGACAGAGGCGTCGGGTTCGATTCCCGGACTGACAAACTACTTAGACGTGTTGCACAGGACGAGGAACGGAGAGGAGGATTCTCAAGGGTTCGTAAATTAAAGATGTTTTACCCGAAATATTTCCGCCATTGTTACAAGTAGAGGAAGACTTCAGTGGAGGCCAGTGGCGTGTAGGGTCCTCTATTCTTCATATTTGTCTATGGCCATTTTGAGTCTCAGTGCTGTTCGTAATTGCACATCTTGGGCTGCTAGATCGTCCCATCGGTCTACCAGCCTCTGTGTCAAGTATTGCCTGACAACTTGGCGAGCTTATAGTTAGGTCTCTGTGTTGTGGTGCGTGACATCACCAACTGATGGCCAGGGTCAGGTTTACCATCCTTCTGAAGATTGTGAAGGGCTGAGATCCGCTTAATGTCATGCCTAAAGTTATGAGTCTTAAGACCAGATAATAATAAGAGATATTTGGCCGGACTCATCTTAGTCACTGTGTTGCACCTGATCTTAGAGCCTCAGTGGCCACCTTTAGGGCTCCTCTGTATACAACATTACCCTGTGCCCGGTATTTCTTCCTTGGCTGTTTTCTTGTAGGTTTTCTTGGAGTAGTTATTCGTCCACCAGGTCTTAATCCTTCTTCCTTGTTCTGCCGGGTTTGTACACCTCTGCTGTTATCTCGAGTACTACCACAAAGCGGGAGTTTGGGGGTGTTGAGTGTTGTAAAGTTTGGGGTGTGCTCGAGGTTTGGGTGCACGAGTGTTTGGGGGGTGCATGAGTGTTTAATAAATAATAATAATAATAATAATTGACGGTTTATTGAAAGTTCTCAGCCCGAAGGCTGAAAATATACATTGACATAAATGACTTATTACGTACATTGGTGGTTTAACAAAAGCCTTCATTAGAGAAAGGTAAAAGAACATACAGTGAACATACAGATTAATGTAGGTGTTGAACAGCAAAACGTAGTGTAGTAACTCCTCCCAGATGGTGTTAGGAGGGACCTCACGTGGTGTAGTAGTTCCCACAGATGGTGTTATGAGGGCCTCACGTGGTGTGTAATTCCCCACAGATGGTGTTATGAGGGCCTCACGTGGTGTAGTAATTCCTCACAGATGGTGTTATGAGGGCCTCACGGTAGTAATTCTCCCAGATGGTGTTAGAGGGACCTCACGTGGTGTAGTAGTTCCCTCACAGATGGTGTTATGAGGGCCTCACGTGGTGTAGTAATTCTCACAGATGGTGTTATGAGGGCCTCACGGTGTAGTAATTCTCACAGATGGTGTTATGAGGGCTCATGGTGTAGTAACTCTTCGCATATGGTGTTATGAGGCCTGACGTGGTGTACTCACATGTAGTATTCCCTCACAGATGATGTTATATGTGTGAGGTGTGGCTCCCAGGCCTATCGTAGACGAATTAACACATCGCTGGTTATCACTGGCCGTTATCACTGGGTACCTGGGACCACCTGTGAAGGTTAACATGGGTCGACTGTTACGGTGCACGAGTGTTTGGGGTGTGCACGAGTGTTTGGGGGGTGCACGAGTGTTTGGGGGATGTGCACGAGTGTTTGGGGGGTATGCACGAGTGTTTGGGGGTGTGCACGAGTGTTTGGGGGTGCACGAGTGTTTGGGGCGTGCAGAGTGTTTGGGGATGTGCACGAGTGTTTGGGGGTGTGCACGAGCAGTTTGAGCGGTGCACGAGTGTTTGGGGGTGTGCGCGAGTGTTTGAGGGATGTATTGTACACGAGTGTTTGGCGGTGTGAACGAGTGTTTGGGAGGTGTCACGAGAGATTGGGGATGTACACGAGTGTTTGGAGGCGTGCACGAGAGTTTGGGAGGCGCACGAGTGTTTGGGAGGCGTAATGAGTGTTTGGGAGGCGTGCACGAGTGTTTGGGGGGTGTGCACGAGTGTTTGGTGGTGTCTGGGGAGGTTTGGTGTCTGGGGAGTGTCTGGTGGTGTCTGGGAGTGTCTGGGGAGGTGTTAGGTGGTGTCTGGGGAGTGTCTGGAGAGTGTTGGTGGTGTCTGGGGAGGTTGGTGGTGTCTGGGGAGGTTAGGTGGTGTCTGGGGAGTGTTAGGTGGTGTCTGGGGAGGTTTGGTGGTGTCTGGGGAGTGTTGGTGGTGTCTGGGGAGGTTTTGGTGGTGTCTGGGAGGTTTGGTGGTGTCTGGGGAGTGTTAGGTGGTGTCTGGGGAGTGTTTGTGTGTCTGGGGAGTGTTAGGTGGTGTCTGGGGAGTGTCTGGGAGTGTTGGTGGTGTCTGGGAGGTTAGGTGGTGTCTGGGGGAGTGTTGGTGGTGTCTGGGGAGTGGTAGCTGGTGTCTGGGGAGTGTTAGGTGGTGTCTGGGGAGTGTTAGGTGGTGTCTGGGGAGTGTCTGGTGGTGTCTGGGGAGTGTCTGGGGAGTGTTGATGGTGTCTGGGGAGTGTTAGGTGGTGTCTGGGGAGTGTTAGGTGGTGTCTGGGGAGTGTTAGGTGGTGTTTCATTAGAGAAAGGTAAAGGAAACATACAGTGAACATACAGATTAATGTAGGGAACAGCAAAAACTGTAGTGTAGTAACTCCCTCCCAGATGGTGTTAGAGGGACTCACGTGGTAGTAGTCCCTCACAGATGGTGTTATGAGGCTCTACGTGGTAGTAATCCTCCCAGATGGTGTTAGGAGGGACCTCACGTGGTGTAGTAGTTCCTCACAGATGGTGTTATGAGGGGCCTCACGGTGTAGTAATTCCCTCACAGATGGTGTTATGAGGGCCTCACGTGGTGTAGTAATTCTTCACAGATGGTGTTATGAGGGCCTCACGTGGTGTAGTAACTTCACAGATGGTGTTATGAGGGCCTCACGTGGTGTAGCAATCACAGATGGTGTTATGAGGGCCTCACGGTGTAGTAACCCTTCACATATGGTGTTATGAGGGCCTGACGTGGTAGTACCCTCACAGATGATGGCACGTGGTATTCCTCACAGATGGTGTTATGAGGGTCACGGTGTAGTAACTCCTTCACATATGGTGTTATGAGGGCCTGACGTGGTGTAGTAATTCCTCACAGATGATGTTATGAGGGCCATGGTAGAATTTCACAGATGATGTTATATGTGTGAGGTGTGGTCCCAGGCCTTTATCGGAGACGAATTAACACATGCTGGTTATCACTGGCCGTTATCACTGGGTACCTGGGACCTCACTGTGTGAAGGTTAACATGGGTACGACTGTTACGGTGTGCACGAGTGTTTGGGGGTGCACGAGTGTTTGGGGTGCACGAGTGTTTGGGGGGTGCACGTGTTTGGGGGCGCACGAGTGTTTGGGGGTGCACGAGTGTTTGGGGCAGAGTGTTTGCGCACGAGTGTTTGGGGGCGTGCACGAGTGTTTGGGGCAGTTGGGGCGTGCACGAGTGTTTGGGATGCAGGTTTGGGGTGCGCACGTGTTTGCAAAGAGGTTTGGGGGTGTGACAGTGTTTGAGGATGTATGTAACGAGTGTTGCGGTGTGTGAACGAGTGTTTGGGAGGTGTGCACGAGATTGGGGATGTACACGAGTGTTTGGGAGGCGTGCACGAGTGTTTGGGAGGCGTGCACGAGTGTTTGGCGGTGCGCACGAGTGTTTGCGGGTGCGCACGAGTGTTTGCGGGTGCGCACGAGCAGTTAGAGCGCACGAGTGTTTGGGGGTGCGCAACGATGTTTGTGGTGTCGGGGAGGTTTGGTGGTGTCTGGGGAGGTCTGGTGGTGTCTGGGAGGTCTGGTGGTGTCTGGGGAGTGTTTAGTGGTGTCTGGGGAGTGTCTGGAGAGTGGTGTCTGGGGAGGTTGGTGGTGTCTGGGGAGTGTTAGGTGGTGTCTGGGAGTGTTTGTAGTGTTTGGGAGTAAGGTGGTGTCTGGGGAGTGTTTGGTGGTGTCTGGGGAGTGTTAGGTGTCTGGGGAGTGTTAGGTAGGGAGGGTTAGGTGGTCTCTGGGGAGTGTTAGGTGGTGTCTCGGGAGTGTCTGGTGGTGTCTGGGGAGTGTTAGTGGTGTCTGGGAGGTCGGAGTGTTAGGTGGTGTCTGGGGAGTGTTATGGTGTCTGGGGAGTGTTGGTGGTGTCTGGGGAGTGTTAGGTGGTGTCTGGGGAGTGTTTGGTGGTGTCTGGGGAGTGTTAGGTGGTGTCTGGGGAGTGTTTGTGGTGTCTGGGGAGGTTAGGTGGCGGGGAGGTCTGAGAGTGTTGGTGGTGTCTGGGGAGTGTTAGGTGGTGTCTGGGGAGTGTTAGGTGTCTGGGGGAGTGTTAGGTGGTGTCTGGGGAGTGTTAGGTGGTGTCTGGGGAGTGTTTGGTGGTGTCTGGGGAGTGTTAGGTGGTGTCTGGGGAGTGTCTGGAGAGTGTTGGTGGTGTCTGGGGAGTGTTAGGTGGTGTCTGGGGAGTGTTAGGTGGTGTCTGGGGAGTGTTAGGTGGTGTCTGGGGAGTGTTAGCTGGTGTCTGGGGAGTGTTAGGTGGTGTCTGGGGGAGTTAGGTGGTGTCTGGGAGTGTCTGTGGTGTCTGGGGAGTGTTGGTGGTGTCTGGGAGTGTTAGGTGTGTCTGGGAGTGTTTGTGGTGTCTGGGGGAGTGTTTGGTGGTGTCTGGGAGTGTTTGTGGTGTCTGGGGAGTGTTTGGTGTCTGGGAGTGTTGGTGGTGTCTGGGGATGTTGGTGGTGTCTGGGGAGTGTTGGTGGTGTCTGGGAGGTTAGGTGGTGTCTGGGGAGGTTTGTGGTGTCTGGGGAGTGTTTGTGGTGTCTGGGGAGGTTTGGTGGTGTCTGGGGAGTGTTAGGGTGGTGTCTGGGGAGTGTTAGGTGTCTGGGGAGTGTTAGGTGGTGTCTGGGGAGTGTTAGTGGTGTCTGGGAGTGTTAGGTGGTGTCTGGGAGTGTTAGGTGGTGTCTGGGAGTGTTAGCTGGTGTCTGGGGAGTGTTGTGGTGTCTGGGAATGTTAGGTGGTGTCTTGGGGAGGTCTGTGGTGTCTGGGGAGTGTTCAGGTGTCTGGGGAGTGTCTGGGGAGTGTTGATGGTGTCTGGGGAGGTTAGGTGGTGTCTGGGGAGTGTTAGGTGGTGTCTGGGGAGTGTTTGGTGGTGTCTGGGGAGTGTTTGTGGTGTCTGGGGAGTGTTAGGTGTCTGGGGAGTGTTTGGTGGTGTCTAGAGGTTAGGTGGTGTCTGGGGAGTGTTAGGTGGTGTCTGGGGAGTGTTAGGTGGTGTCTGGGGAGGTTAGGTGGTGTCTGGGGAGTTGGTCTCTTCACTGGTTCTCCCTGACGCTTGGATATGGTCCCTGTACATATATATTGATGTTTAATAAGTTAACAATTATTGGTGTTACAGGTATATAGACAATGCAGGTGCGGTATACAGCTAAGCATACATTCATACAGTATACAAGTAAATCACTGTAGATGCGCTTATACACTATACATAGACACTGTAGGTATATAATTTATTTACCAAGACAGTGAGGATATATAAACAGTAGGTTAGGATGTTTCACTAGTGATAGCTAACATGAAGGTCACAGTTTGTATCCAGTACACAGTTCCGGATGACAGAACACAGAAACGACAGATGGAAGATATACAGAGGAACTGGACTGTGTGACCATTATAGTGAACATTAGTTAATAGTAGGACCAGGGAGGTTGAAAGGTGAGCACATGGTTACAATAGTGTATGTGATGATGTGGGTGAAGGAACAACAAGGTGGTGACGTGAGGGTGAAGAATGTGATAGTGAACAGTGAACAGGAGAGTATGAGGCGGTGACAGTGTTCATTAAGGGGGTAAAGGCATCAGGTCAACTGGTATCGACAACTTGGAGAATGAGAAGTGAAAGATTTATAAGAATTGTTATAAAAGAGAGAAGAGGAATGGCCAAGGAGGTGGAGGGAAGAGTCAGGGAGCATCACTATAAGACTTGTGTGGTGTAGCGTTAACGGAGAGTTGTTAGTGGCTTATGAGGCTTTGTTGTGGAGGTAGTTCAATACTTTTAGTCCAGTAGTGAATAATAAATGATAGGAAAAAGACATATTAATTCTTGCAACTCTACAGGATACATAAGAAATACTAATATGTTTGTCTAATTATTCATTTGACAGGCACAAACAGAAGTTACCTGCCCAAGGAGGATGAAAACAGCAGCCAGGTGTCCAGATGATGAACCAACACCAAGTTAGTCAAGAGGCAAACACAAGAAAACTGAAAAACGTTGAACTGCCTTACATGAGTCAGCGTTACCCGACATGACAAGTTGTATTGTGATGAAGTAAGTGTTGCTTTGATACGCCACACAAAAATTAAGCAAATTATAACAGTGTAAAGTGGAGTGAGGAAGGACTTATTAGGAGGTGTAGGAGGAGGAAGGACTTGTTGTGAGGTGTAGGAGTGAGGGAAGGACTTGTTGTGAGTGGTGAGTGAGGGAAGGACTTGTTGTGAGGTGTAGGAGTGAGGGAAGACTTGTTGTGAGGTGTAGGAGTGAGGGAAGGACTTGTTGTGAGGTGTAGGAGGAGGAAGGACTGTTGTGAGGGTGTGGGAGGAGGAAAGGACTTGTTGTGAGGTGTAGAGTGAGGGAAGGACTTGTTGTGAGGTGTAGGAGGGAGGGAAGGACTTGTTGTGAGGTGTAGGAGTGAGGAAAGGACTTGTTGTGTGGTGGAGTGAGGAAGGACTTGTTGTGAGGTGTAGAGTGAGGAAGGACTTGTTGTGAGGTGTAGGAGTGAGGGAAGGACTTGTTGTGAGGTGTAGGAGTGAGGAAGGACTTGTTGTGAGGTGTAGGAGTGAGGGAAGGACTTGTTGTGAGTTAGGATGGAGGGAAGGACTTGTTGTGAGGTGTAGATGGAGGGAAGGACTTGTTGTGAGGTGTAGGGTGAGGGAAGGACTTGTGATGTGTAGGAGGAGGGAAGGACTTGTTGTGAGGTGTAGAGTGAGGGAAGGACTTGAGGTGTAGGAGTGAGGGAAGGATTCAGAGAGGTGAGAGGAGGAAAGGACTTGTTGTGAGGTGTAGGAGTGAGGAAAGGACTTGTTGTGAGGTAGAGGAGGAAAGGACTTTGTTGTGAGGTGTGGAGGAAGGACTTGTTGTGAGGTGTAGGTGGAGGGAAGGACTTGTTGTGAGGTGTAGGTGTGAGGGAAGGACTTGTTGTGAGGTGTAGGAGTGAGGGAAGGACTTGTTGTGAGGATGGAGGAAGGACGTGTTGTGAGGTGTAGATGAGGGAAGGACTTGTGTGAGGTGTAGGAGTGAGGGAAGGACTTGTTGTGAGGTGTAGTAGTGAGGAAGGACTTGTTGTGAGGTGTAGGATGAGGGAAGATTGTTGTGAGGTGGAGTGAGGGAGGACTTGTTGTGAGGTGTAGGAGTGAGGGAAGGCTGTTGTGAGGTGTAGGAGTGAGGGAAGGACGTGTTGTGAGGTGAGGAGTGAGGGAAGGATTGTTGTGAGGTGTAGGAGTGAGGGAAGGACTGTTGTGGAGGTGTAGGAGTGAGGGAAGGACGTGTTGTGAGGTGTAGGAGGAGGGAAGGACTTGTTGTGAGGGAAGGACTTGTTGTGAGGTGTAGGAGTGAGGGAGGACTTGTTGGAGGGTGTAGGAGTGAGGAAGGACTTGTTGTGAGGTGTAGGAGTGAGGGAAGGACTTGTTGGAGGTGGTGGAGTGGAGGGAAGGACTTGTTGTGAGGTGTAGGAGGAGGGAAGGACGTGTTGTAGGTGTAGGGAGTGAGGGAGGACTTGTTGTGAGGTGTAGGAGTGAGGGAAGGACTTAAGCAGAGGTGTAGGAGGAGGAAGGACTTGTTGTGAGGTGTGTAGGGATGGAGGAAGGACTTGTTAGAGGTGTAGGAGGAGGGAAGGACTTGTTGTGAGGTGTAGGAGTGAGGGAAGGACTTGTTGTGAGGTGTAGGAGGAGGGAAGGACTTGTTGTGAGGTGTAGGAGAGGGAAGGACTTGTTGTGAGGTGTAGGAGGAGGGAAGGACTTGTTGTGAGGTAGGAGTGAGGGAAGGACGTTGTGAGGTGTGGGAGGAGGGAAGGATGCTAGAGGTGTAGGAGTGAGGGAAGGACTTGTTGTGAGGTGGAGGAGGGAAGGACTTGTTGTGAGGTGTAGGAGGAGGGAAGGATGCTGTGAGGTGTAGGAGGAGGGAAGGACTGTTGTGAGGTGTAGGAGTGAGGGAAGGACTTGTTGTGAGGTGTAGGAGGAGGGAAGGACTAGCCAGAGGTGTAGGAGGAGGGAAGGACTTGTTGTGAGGTGTAGGAGGAGGGAGGACTTGTAGAGGTGTAGGAGTGAGGGAAGGACGTGTTGTGAGGTGTAGGGAGTGAGGGAAGGACGTGTAGGAGGTGTAGAGTGAGGGAAGGACGTGTTGTGAGGTGGGGTGAGGGAAGGACTTGTTGAGGTGTAGGAGTGAGGGAAGGACTTGTTGAGGTGTAGGGTGAGGGAAGACTTGTTGTGAGGTGTAGGAGTGAGGGAAGGACTTGTTGTGAGTAAGAGGAGGGAAGGACTTGAGGTGTAGGAGGGAGGGAAGGACTGTTGTGAGGTGTAGGAGTGAGGGACTTGTTGTGAGGTAGAGGAGGAAGGACTTGTTGTGAGGTGTAGGAGGGAGGGAAAGGACTTGTTGTGAGGTGTAGGAGTGGAGGAAAGGACTTGTTGTGAGGTGTAGGAGTGAGGGAAGGACTTGTTGTGAGGTGTAGGAGTGAGGGAAGGACTTGTTGTGAGGTGTAGGAGTGAGGGAAGGACTTGTTGTGGGAGGTGTAGGGATGAGGAAGGACGGCCAGAGGTGAGTGATGAGGGAGACTTGTTGTGAGGTAGGAGGAGGGAAGGACTTGTTGTGAGGTGTAGGAGTGAGGGGAAGGACTTGAAAGGGAGGTGTAGGGAGTGAGGGAAGGACTTGTTGTGAGGTGTAGGAGTGAGGGAAGGACTTGTTGTGGAGGTGGTGGAGTGAGGGAAGGACGTGTTGTGAGGTGTAGGAGTGAGGGGAAGGACTTGTTGTGGAGGTAGGAGTGAGGGAAGGACTGTTGTGAGGTGTAGGAGTGAGGGAAGGACTTGTTGTGGGAGGTGTAGGAGTGAGGGAAGGACTTGTTGTGAGGTGTAGGAGTGAGGGAAGGACTGTTGTGAGGTGTAGGGAGTGAGGGAAGGACGGTTGTGAGGTGTAGGAGGAGGGAAGGACTTGTTGTGAGGTGTAGGAGTGAGGGAAGGACTTGTTGTGGTGGTGGAGGAGGGAAGGACTTGTTGTGAGGTGTAGGAGTGAGGAAGGACCTTGTTGTGAGGTGTAGGAGTGAGGGAAGGACGTGTTGTGAGGTGTAGGAGTGAGGGAAGGACGTGGCAGGAGGTGTAGGAGGGAAGGACGTGTTGTGAGGTGAGAGTGAGGGAAGGACTTGTTGTGAGGTGTGTGGAGGAGTGAGGAAGGACTTGTTGTGGAGGTGTAGGAGTGGAGGGAAGGACGTGCTGGGGAGGTGTAGGAGTGAGGGGAAGGACTTGTTGTGAGGGTGTAGGAGTGAGGGAAGGACTTGTTGTGAGGTGTAGGAGTGAGGGAAGGACTGTTGTGGAGGTGTAGGAGTGAGGGAAGGACTTGTTGTGAGGTGTAGGAGTGAGGGAAGGACTTGAGCAGAGGTGTAGGAGTGAGGGAAGGACTTGTTGTGAGGTGTAGGAGTGAGGAAGGACGTGGTGGGGAGGTGTAGGGAGTGAGGGAAGGACGTGGGGAGGGTGTAGGAGTGAGGGAAGGACGATGGGGGAGGTGGGGTGGAGAGGGAAGGACTTGTTGTGAGGTGTAGGAGTGAGGGAAGGACGTGTTGTGAGGTGTGGGAGTGAGGGAAGGACGAGTTGTGAGGTGTAGGGAGTGAGGGAAGGACTTGTTGGTGAGGTGTAGGAGTGAGGGAAGGACTTGTGAGAGGTGTAGGAGTGAGGGAAGGACTTGTTGTGAGGTGTAGGAGTGAGGAAGGACTTGTTGTGAGGTGTAGGAGTGAGGAAGGACTTGTTGTGAGGTGTAGGAGTGAGGGAAGGACTTGTTGGGAGGTGTAGGAGTGAGGGAAGGACTTGTTGTGAGGTGTGTAGGAGAGGGAAGGACGTAAGTGAGGTGTAGGAGTGAGGGAAGGACGTGTTGTGAGGTGTAGGAGGAGGGAAGGACGTGTTGTGAGGTGTAGGAGTGAGGGAAGGACGTGTTGTGAGGTGTAGGAGTGAGGGAAGGACGTGTTGTGAGGTGTAGGAGTGAGGGAAGGACTTGCTGTGAGGTGTAGGAGTGAGGGAAGTACTTTTGTGTAGGACTCGTAGTTGGTACAGTAGTGAACTTGTTGGTTACGGTGGGTGAGACTATTATACACTGTTATAATATTGTTAACGAGTAGACGTTATCCAAGTCAACCATTGTAAAGTGACGTACTGGTGGTGACGTCACTGGCCCTCTTAATGATTGCTGGTGGTGACGTCACTGGCCCTCTGGTGACTGGTCCACTTAATGATTGCTGGTGGTGACGTCACTGGCGACTGGTCCACTTAATGACTGCTGGTAGTGACGTCACAGGCCCATTTAATGACTCTGTACAAACGTGTGACATTGGCCACAGTAAAGACGTAATAGTTACTTAATAAACTTTTGTATCATAATGCCAGAAAGAATAAAATGTTTTATGTAAATGAAGTTATTTAAATGAGGTGATAGATTGTGATGTTTATTACAATAGTAAGACGTTAACACAAAAAATGTTTAACGTAACACAAGTGAAGACGATCAATGTTTATTAGTGTAACGTAACAAACATTAAAGACGAGATAAAACATTACTTAGTTCACCAAAAGGTTTTATATAAACAATTTATTCCCGGCATTAAAATAAAGTAACTATTACTTGTTTGTAATCAATGACTGTTGTTTAAGGGAGAAAATGTTGTAATACAGAAGTTGTAATAACCATGTTACAGTAATACAGAGCTGTAATAACTGCTTCAGGTTACAGTAAATTATTAAACGTTGTATTTCAGCGTCAGGAAGAGTAAATTATCTCGATATACAAATGAAGATAAACTATTGTACACGACGTTGTCCACTAGTGTCCTCTTTACAGTATGTTACTCTTGCTGGCTCTAACAACGCGTTTGTTTAATAATTTACTGTAACCTGAAGCAGTTATTACAGCTCTACAACTTTCTTGTAACCATTGAGTTTTACTTTATTGTAAAATCTTGTCTAATGCTTTTTGTGTTGAATATTTAAAGTTTTGTAAAAAATAAATTTTTCTGTCCCATGTATAGAGTTTTACTTAGATTTTAGGAAAAAATTTCGAGGTGTAAACTGGACACTTCAAACAAGGCAATCGAGATATGTGAAGTGTTAACTGGTAAATGATAACTGGATGACATATTAATATTTATTAATTCATTGAGCACATATATACAATCAAGCTATGTTGAACCAATCAATTTGTTGCTTGAAGGTCAAGTCACTGGTGTGTGGGCACGCTGCTCGTGTAGAGGTCACGTCACTGCTGTGTGGGCACGCTGCTCGTGTAGGGGTCACTGGTGTGTGGGCACGCTGCTCGTGTAGAGGTCACGTCACTGGTGTGTGGGCACGCTGCTCGTGTAGAGGTCACGTCACTGGTGTGGGCACGCTGCTCGTGTAGAGGTCACGTCACTGGTGTGTGGGGCACGCTGCTCGTGTAGAGGTCACGTCACTGGTGTGTGGGCACGCTGCTCGTGTAGAGGTCACGTGCTGTGTGGGCACGCTGCTCGTGTAGGGGTCACTGGTGTGGGCACGCTGCTCGTGTAGAGGTCACGTCACTGGTGTGTGGGCACGCTGCTCGTGTAGAGGTCACGTCACTGGTGTGTGGGCACGCTGCTCGTGTAGAGGTCACGTCACTGGTGTGTGGGCACGCTCCTTGGTGAAGGCCTCCAGTCTAACTCTCGTCGGGTTAATGTTTTCACTCCCCTGAAAATATAAAAGTTAACTTGAGTAAACAGTTTACTACAATCAACAATATTTTAAACAAGTCTTCATAAACATCAAGTCCAAAATATTTAATTACAACTAAAGTTTATTAACAACAACGGTCGACTGTAAAGCTAAACTTAACAAGAAATTTTAACTTTGGATAATTTTCTTCACACTTGCAACGAATAAGTTTATCACTATAGATTAACGAGACTAAGAAGTAACGTTTAAATTTTACGTTAGAAGCAAATATAATGCTTAAAGCTGCCTCAGAAAACAAACTTGCAAAATAGATTAAGCTGAATTATCAAACCAAGTCATTTTCATTATTTTAGCCCAAAAACTTTCATTATTATCGATTTAATTTACCTTTAAACGCTGTACTTAACTACAACTAAATATATATATATAACTTTACATTAATTTATCCCAATAAATTATTTACTCTAGACTGTAAAACATTTAAACTGATGGTTTACAGAGTTAATAGAATTGGTTTACAAAATCAATTGATGTAAAATCTAAGTAAAAATTAAGTTTACTTATTAAGGAATGCTTCAAGGTCTCCACTGGTAGCGGCTGTTACAACCTGTTCTGTAGTCATCCTCCTCCCCTATTTTCAAAGCTTCCTCAGGTCTCAGTCACTTGTAATAATAAATTAATCCGCTATACTGTACTCCAGACTCTGGTACTGGTCTCTACTACCTCGTGATTTATATTACTGTACAGCTGCATAACCAAAGTAATCTCAGAGTAGTCACACGTATAATTAACGTTTTCTATGGCTTCGTGTAACAGAAAATTTTCAAATTTAAGGGGTAACTCACCATTATGCACGATTTAAAAGCCCGTGAATAATACCTCGTCTATATAGATTTAGTATTAAGGGATAATTCAAGATGCCTATGTGATTGCTAGGATGACTTCATTGGTTTATTGTAGCGTAATATGAACAGTATACTATATCTGGGAGCTTTGTTTACGGTTGTCTAAAATTAAATAAACACTAATCATTTGAAGGACGGATATACACAACTGATCTGAGAGAATCTTAGTTGTATTAGGTACGTCAAGTGTTGAGGTGGACTCATAACGTAGTTTACAAGTGCGTCTGGAGGATATACTAGGGCGAGTCCATACTGCAGATTACCAAATATTATCGAACAAATAAACACGATTGTATTGGGTAACAAATTTACTAATGACTTAAGTGAAAACAATGAGCGGGATACATTGTTTTTCTGTAAGATAACCGACCAGATACCCAGGTAGTGTCCAGGGTGCCGGAAGGGTGGTAGCGAGGCTTTAGTCAATAGATTGTATACAAATTATTATTACTATTATTTAGCTGAATTTATATGACTGAAATAGTAAGTTATGTGACGACTTTTTCACTGAAGTTAACCATTTAAAAACCGCCTTTAGCTAAACTTCGTCCACTAAGAATTGAGGAGCCCCAACAGAACCTAAGGTACACAACAGTTAAGGGTTCAATAGTTACCTTGACCAACAGTAGAGGCTGTAGCAAGACCCATCACGTCTTATTGGTGTCAGATGAAACGGTGTTGAACAAGACGGCTCACGTGGCCACAGGCGAGGAGGAGCATGACAAGACAGCTCACGTGGCCCACAGGTGAGGAGGAGCATGACAAGACAGCTCAGGTGGCCCACAGGCGAGGAGGAGCATGACAAGACAGCTCAGGTGGCCCACAGGGCGAGGAGGAGCATGACAAGACAGCCACGTGGCCCACAGGTGAGGAGGAGCATGACAAGACATCTCACGCGGCACACAGGTGAGGAGGAGCATGACAAGACAGCTCACGTGGCCTACAGGCGAGGAGGAGCATGACAAGACATCTCACGCGGCACACAGGTGAGGAGGGAGCATGACAAGACAGCTCACGTGGCCTACAGGCGAGGAGGAGCATGACAAGACAGCTCACGTGGCCCACAGGAGAGGAGGAGCATGACAAGACAGCTCACGTGGCCCACAGGTGAGGAGGAGCATGACAAGACAGCTCACGTGGCCCACAGGAGAGGAGGAGCATGACAAGACAGCTCTGTGTGGCCCACAGGCGAGGAGGAGCATGAGACAGCTCAGGTGGCCCACAGGCGAGGAGGAGACTCAGGTGGCCCACAGGCGAGAGGAGCATGACACATGGCCCACAGGCGAGGAGGAGCATGACAAGACACACGTGGCCCAGGTGACAAGAACGCGGCACACAGGTGAGGAGGAGCATGACAAGACAGGACGTGGCCCACAGGCGAGGAGGAGCATGACAAGACAGCTCACGTGGCCCACAGGTGAGGAGGAGCATGACACAAGGGACAGCATGACAAGACAGCCACGTGGCCCACAGGTGAGGAGGAGCATGACAAGACATCTCACGCACACACAGGTGAGGAGGAGCATGACAAGACAGCTCAGGTGGCCCACAGGCGAGGAGGAGCATGACAAGACAGCTCACGTGGCCCACAGGTGAGGAGGGCATGACAAGACATCTCACGCGGCACACAGGTGAGGAGGAGCATGACAAGACAGCTCACGTGGCCCACAGGTGAGGAGGAGCATGACAAGACATCTCACGCGGCACACAGGTGAGGAGCATGACAAGACAGCTCACGTGGCCCACAGGTGAGGAGGAGCATGACAAGACATCTCACGCGGCACACAGGTGAGGAGGAGCATGACAAGACAGCTCAGGTGGCCCACAGGCGAGGAGGAGCATGACAAGACAGCTCACGGCCCACAGGTGAGGAGGAGCATGACAAGACATCTCACGTGGCCCACAGGTGAGGAGGAGCATGACAAGACATCTCACGCGGCACAGGTGAGGAGAGCATGACCCAGTGGGTGGAGGAGCATGACACACAGGCGTGAGGAGGAGCATGACAAGACAGCTCACGTGGCCCACAGGCGAGGAGGAGCATGACAAGACAGCTCACGTGGCCCACAGGTGAGGAGGAGCATGACAAGACAGCTCACGTGGCCCACAGGTGAGGAGGAGCATGACAAGACAGCCTGCCCACAGGTGAGGAGGAGCATGACAAGACATCTCACGCGGCACACAGGTGAGGAGGAGCATGACAAGACAGCCATGGGCCCACAGGCGAGGAGGAGCATGACAAGACAACCACGTGGCCACAGGCGAGGAGGAGCATGACAAGACAGCTACGTTGCCCTACAGGCGAGGAGCATGACAAGACAGCTCACGTTGCCCACAGGCGAGGAGGAGCATGACAAGACAGCTCACGTGGCCCACAGGTGAGGAGGAGCATGACAAGACAGCTCACGTGGCCCACAGGCGAGGAGGAGCATGACAAGACAGCTCACGTGGCCTACAGGCGAGGAGGAGCATGACAAGACAGCTCACGTGGCCACAGGTGAGGAGGAGCATGACAAGACAGCTACGTGGCCCACAGGCGAGGAGGAGCATGACAAGACAGCTCACGTGGGCCACAGGCGAGGAGGAGCATGACAAGACAGCTCACGGGCCCACAGGCGAGGAGGAGCATGACAAGACAGCTCACGTGGCGAGGAGGAGACAAGACAGCTCAGGCGCATGACAAGACAACGTGGCCCACAGGCGAGGAGGAGCATGACAAGACAGCTCACGCGGCCCACAGGTGAGGTGGAGCATGACAAGACAGCTCACGTGGCCCACAGGCGAGGAGGAGCATGACAAGACAGCTCACGTGGCCCACAGGTGAGGAGGAGCATGACAAGACAGCTCACGTGGCCCACAGGCGAGGAGGAGCATGACAAGACAGCTCACGCGGCCCACAGGTGAGGTGGAGCATGACAAGACAGCTCACGCGGCCCACAGGCGAGGAGGAGCATGACAGCTGGCAATACTGCAGGAATGGCGACTGTTCATCTTGTCATTTTTGGGCGAGGAGCCAGGAGGGGGTCGAGGCCTGGTCCGTGCAGTAGCTGTGGCTCACCATGGCTCGGGTAGTCCACGGGGAGTTGGATCTGGAAGAGAATCGTAAAATGAACCAATAAGGAGCCAATATGTTTTAGGGATTATTTAAGTTTCCTAGTTAACAACATCATTAAAACACCTGAGTAATTACGTCAGGGTAGTTCATGTAGTGATTAATTAATGCCAGTGTTTTTAGATATAATGTTAGAGCACTTTATTTACTAGCCCTGACCATCTAGCCCTGACCATCAAACTATGTACAGTCGGGGAAAAAACCGAAGTTCCCGACTGTTCCAAACGACTTAAGAAAAAACTAACGAAAATTCTGAAGTTTAGGAAGTTTTTAATGCAAATTTAATTACTTTTCAACAGTAAATACAATAAAAAAGAGCAACAAATTACGAAATATTAAGTCACTTCAAAACCAGAGACTTGCTAATCATCATAAGAACAAGAGCTAATCTGTTTGGAAATCTGTCGTGCCCAGCTGTTCGAAGGCCGATTTTGTCGACTGTACACAAGACGTAAATAATGCTTCAACTTGGCCTCCTCCTTGGTAACTCTTTATTGAACTAAATCCTAATATACGGTTAACAGTTCACACAATACTACAGAGGCACGAATATTTATACATTAGCATTGAAAAATACTTTAATAACACCAGGTTATATATATACGTTAAACACTTAATAGTCAAACAATATTCCTCTAAAAAAACAAACCGATGAAACGATCCTTTACAAAATCAAGAATGAAACAAGCAGTAAGGGGTCACCCGGGGTAATTTGTCGTCTTAAATATATATATACTGTATAACATATCCTCAGTTGCCCACAGAATAAACCACAGATTTCACAATTAAAAAAACTAATCTTTCTTGGTTTCGGAATAACTAAGGAAACTAAGGACCATTTGTTCTCGTCTTGCTTAACAACAGTCCCACCTCACGTCATCCCGGCCACTAATAACGCTTCCCTCTACTAGCCGACTATGGAGTAATTTTACTGTACTACGTGTAATTTACGGCCTTGAAACATTAACTTCACCAGAATTATTATATTTTTATGTACATTATTATTATATTTTGTTTGTAATGGAGGGTTGCAGACTCCTGAGATACTTGAAACTTGTCCTGGTATTTATTAACCGTCCACGAACCCGGTCCAGAAGCCTTAATTGTGATGCTCTATGGTGACGTGTACAGTCGGCAATTAATGCAGTAGTTTGTTTATTACTTAAACTTATAACGAACTATTATCATGACCTAACAGCAAGATAAACTAAGTACACTTAATATATGACGATCCTTTCACACCTATGAGTTAGGAGTGGAACTTACCGATCAGCAAGGAGCTCCCGTCAGTAGGGAGTATCCTGTAGCAACAACATTGTCAGCCAGCAGTAACCAATAACGCCAAAAGCAATCAGCCAACAGAAGAACGAGGCAGAGTAGCGTGTGTCAGTCGTCACCAGCCAGGAGCAGTACACAGACTGCAGCAGACGACGTGTGTCAGGTACAGCACCGCCTCTCTCCCAAGTTCACTGTGAAACGTCGGAACTTGTAAATGAGGCTTCGACTCCCCATCCTGAACCATCAACCATCCAAATCCCAGTTGCCTAACGAAGATATTAACACTATTACTGAACCACTAACGTGAAAATAACCTTAAACTATATTAATAAACCAATTGACTTTATAAAATTGAATTACTTACAATTTCACTTAAAATTACCGCGAGAATTGATTAACTGTTCGAGGCCAGATTCAGGGTTTCGAATCTCTGTTGTTTTGGTGACGTCATCAAGTGGGCGGGGTTTATAAACGAGGTTGTTTGGACTATCAAATGGTCGTTGTATTTGTAAATATTATACTGTATAAGACAAAAGACATAAATAATAATACAAATATTATAAATTTGAAAAGAATAAACTTGTGGACACATACACACTCACCTGCACATGCTTCGTCATCGTCATCATCATCATCATTAAGCGACGGCAGATAATGGGTTGGGAGGTGAGGGAGGCGTCTCGGGTCACCCTCCAAAATATGTCAGTCCTCGAGTTGTATAATATTAACTCTTATGTATACGAATAATTATAATAAATTATATGGGATGGGGGACATGTTGTGGCAACTTTTATTTGTGAATAATTGATTCTAGAGGACAGTAGTGAGGGGCTTGGTGGGGAGGTGGGAGAGGCGTGTTTTACGGGGAGGTGGGAGAGGCGTGTTTTACGGGGAGGTGGGAGAGGTGTGTTTTACGGGGAGGTGGGAGAGGCGTGTTTTACGGGGAGGTGGGAGAGGCGTGTTTTACAGGAGGTGGGAGGGTGTGTTTTACAGGGGGAGGTGGGAGGCGTGTTTTACGGGAGGTGGGAGGTGTGTGTTTTAGAGGTGGGAGAGAGCGTGTTTGCAGGGGAGGTGGGAGGCGTGTTTTACAGGGAGGTGGGAGAGGCGGTGTTTTACAGGGGAGGTGGGAGGCGTGTTTGGGGAGGTGGAGAGGCGTGTTCTACAGGGAGGTGAAGGCGTGTTTTACTGGGAGGTGGAAGGCGTGTTTTACGAGGGAGGTGGAGGGCGTGTTTGCAGGAGGTGGGAGGTGGGAGGTGGGAGCGTGTTTACAGGGGAGGTGGGAGAGGCGTGTTTTACAGGGGAGGTGGGAGGGCGTGTTTTACGGGAGGTGGGAGAGGCGTGTTTTACAGGGGAGGTGGGAGGCGTGTTTACAGGAGGTGGGAGGGGCGTGTTTTACTGGGAGGTGGGAGAGGCGTGTTTTACTGGGAGGTGGGAGAGGCGTGTTTTACTGGGAGGTGGGAGAGGCGTGTTTTTGTCAGGTGTGATAATTTACACTAAATACACCGTGTTAAGAATCTACTTCCTCTAAGGAATATCTTCGTATCAACTGACCAACTGATATAACTTTACTCTATATTTAGTGTTTTGTTAACACTTGAGTATGTATCGTTGTGTGGTTCTTTCTTGCTCAAGTCAAACACGTACAAGACATAGTGTCTGCCATTTACCTTAAGAGTTAGGTACAGTACATAACAGAGAGTCCGTACATGCCCAGTATTTACCAACAATGCGTAGCATAGATGTGACGGACTGCCCAAGTGGCGAAGAGGATAAAATAAAAGGCGTCGAGTTTACTTCAGGAAACAACAGTAGGCCGAGTCTTGAATGAGTCCACACTCTGTGCCGTTACAACGATCTATCGTAAATTGTTCCAATAATTCACAACTATCACTCCTTAAAAGCTTTACCTAAAAATGTTCTGAATTTGTGGCCTTTTCAACCTTAAGTTG